AAATATGATGTCTAGGCTCTTTTTTCTTATCATGGCTTTCAGGTAGTCCAATAATTTTCAGATTACCTCTTCTGGATCTATTTTCCAGGTCAGCTGTTTTTCTGATGAGATATTTCACATTGTCTTCTATTTTTTCATTCTTTTGACTTTGTTTTATTGTTTTTTGATGTCTCATAGAGTCTTTAACTCCTACTTCCCAAATTCTAATTTTTAAGGAATTATTTTCTTTAGTGAGCTTTTGTGCCTCCTTTTCCATTCAGCCAATTCTACTTCTTAAGGAGTTGTTTTCTTCAGTGAATTTTTGTATAGTGTTGTCTATTTTTTGTCCTTCCTTTATCAAGCTGTTGACTCTTTGTTTATGATTCTCTTGCATCATTCACATTTCTTTTCCCAATTTTTCTTCTACCTCTCTTACCTGATTTTTAAAATCCTTTTTGAGATCTTCCAGGAGTTCTTTTTGGGCCTGAGACAAATTCACTTCTTTTTTTGAGGCTTCATATATAGTCATTTTGACATCATTGTCCTTTTCTGCATTTGTTTTGATCTTCCCAGTCACCATAGTAACTTTCTCTGATAGGGTTCTTTTTTGTTTTGGTTTGGTTTTTTGCTCATTTTTCCAGCCCATTTCATGACTTAATTTTTATGTTAACGTTGGGCATTGCTCCTGTGGTGAAGATGGGCACTGTCCCAATCTTCTTGTGCTGGGAGAGTGGGGCCCCATTGCTGGCCTACTGTGCTGGGGCCATGGGACCTCACTGTTGGCTTCCCTGGATGCTACCTGCACTGAACTGCACTCCTTTTACCCAAGTGAAATAGACCTTTCCTGCCAACTTTCTAATTTGTCTTGGGCTGGAAAATTGGTTCGCCCTATCCTTTTATTGGTTCTACTGCTCCAAAATTCATTTTGAGACATTTTTTTATGGTTGTTTAGAGGTGAATTTGGGAGAGTTCAGGTGGGTCCTTGCCTTGCTCTGCCATTGTGGTTCTGCCCTACCAACACTGCATATAGTAACAGCCTTATTCCACATGTTTGTTATTAGTTTTGCTAAACTGCTTTTCCTACTCTTTCTAAAGTTTTTGCTATAAAGAAGGGGCAAGGGAGGAATATATTGGGAAAATTCAATAATTATTTTAAACTTAAGATTCAATTTATTTTATAAAAATGCCTCCTAATCTCTGTACCCCTTCTTCTGCCCCCAGATCTGCTCTATCCAGGAAAACAGACATAAAGATCAGTAGTCCTGCGGTGAAGGATGAAAAGGAAGACAATATATGTTTTGGAGGGGCTTCTGGAGTCTTCCTAGTAACTGAGGTTTCCTCTAATGGCTCAAACCCTTAACTGAGAGCATGGTGGCCATCTACTTACCTAGCAAAGCTCCCTCCTAGATTCTCCTGTGGCAAGATTAGCTGATACTTGTAAACCCTTACCCTAGAAGGGGTAGAGCCTTCTCTCTGCTCGATGGGCACAGTATAATTAAGGACCAGCACAAAGGGGTACAGTTTGGGGGGAAGAAGGACTTCTCAGATGAGATTGGCATAGCAAGGAAAATAATCCCATGTCAGATTCATAGAGATGCCTCATTTAGAGACAATAAGGGCCCACACGTCTAATGCAAGTTCCTTTCTTTCATCCATCTGCTCCTATCCCTAGGAAAGGAATGTCCAGCTAAGATAAAAAAGAAAAGAGGTATTTTTTTCTATTTAAAAATCTTTGTTATAAGGGATGGCTCTCTGAATGGGGCAGAGGGAGAAGAAAGGGATATGTTGGGAAACATAGGTCATGTAAAAACAAAGAATGTATTTTTTATAAAAAAAGAGAAAAGTAAAGGAGCTACTCCTGCACTGAAGCACAAAGAAACTGAATACCACTCCCATGTGGGTATTAGCTCAGGTGTCCGGACAAAGAGGGTTTCCTGGTAGGAGGTGGGCTGAGCTAGGAACAGCTCAGATCTAACCATTCCTCCATCCCCCCCCCAAGTTTTGTCTCACCTCACCCTACACCTTACACCTGGGCACATAATGCCACAGCTTAATCAGCTCTATCCACCTGGTTTAGATCAGAAGATCTTCTACTATAAAGGGAACTTTGAGGTCATCAAGTCAAAATCTACCATTCTACAGATAAAGAGACTGGGCTCCCCCCCAACCCAGGATGAAGTGACTTGTCCAAGGTTGTACATTTAGTCAGTGGCAGAAATAGAAGAAATCCTCTGACACCAAGGGGCAAAAGAGTGTGATGTCTGAAGGAAACCATGACTTTAAGTCAGATGACAGGCCCTGACTCTCACACTTATGAGAATGGAAGAGAAGAGGGAAAGAAGATAAAGTGCGTGGCACATAGGGCTCAATAAATGCCTTTTCATTCATTCATTCATTCATTTATTACGCTCCTTCCCTAGGAAGTTAAAGCATCATTTTCAGGATATTTCTTCAATATTCTCAGTTCTATTTTCCCAGCAGTCCTATGTATTTCAGGCCTTAGAGCCAAAACCTGGGGGGGCCCTGTGGTACCTAGAATACAATGGGAAAAGCCCTGAACAAAGAATCAGGGGGCCTGGATTTTAGAATCATAAGATTCAGAAATGGAAGCCAACTTTCTGGGTCATCTAGTCCAACCCCCAATCTTAAGGATGAGGGAACTGAGATGTAGAGGGAGAAGGGCCATTTCTTGCCAAAGTCACTATCTTGACATTACCACTAAATTGCTATGTAACTCTAGGCATCATTGATCTTCCTGGGCCCTAGGTTTATCTATCTGTATAAAGAGAGGGAATTTGATCAGATTGCTAAGGTCCTTTCCAATTTTGACACTCCATAACCTTACACTAGTGGTTCTCAACATGTGTTCCATGGATTTTGATAGGTGCATTGCAAAATTTTGGATGCCATGGTATTGCAGATAAAAGAAATTTAAAATAATTTTGTTTAACATAACTGCTTATTTAACCAGCATATGGAGTATTGTGAGTACTCTGTATATGAAATAAACAGAATTTGCCTATTTCACATATGTGCAAACCTGTAAACATGTCATATCCTGAACTCACAAATCATTCAAGAAAACCAGCTACACTTATGAAGGGAAATTGCACCAACTTTTCTAACTTAAACATCCAATGTGTCACCATTCCTCAAAAAAAAAAAATTGAAAACCATTGCCGAAACAGAAATCTCAAGGAGGGAAGAGGCTGGATGTTTGACTCCTGGGTTTCAAATTCATATCTATCCATAGTTATCCTTCTTTAGAGATCTCTACTCTTCTGTGCCTCAGTCTCCCCCAGCTCTTAGCAAAACAAACAAAAATATGTAGCCCCCTGCCCAGCCCCACCTCACCGTGTACATCACACATGCTATGCTGGCTCACAATGCCTGTGTCATTCTCCTTGTCAGCTGGCCACTTGTAGACAAACATAGATGTGTGGGAAGAGCCAGCATCCAGGACGATGCCATACTGGAGAGAGGAAAGAATATGAGTAGGGAGTTAGTTCCACAAGGTTCCTAGGGAATTCTCCCAGCTCACAAAGCTCTCAAGCCCTGGAAACTCCTAGACCCCAAAATGGCCCTGGAAGAGAGAATGCCTCCCCTCCCCCCACTTATATACGCACAAACACACACAGCTGCACCCCAGAATGGGACAGTTGGAAAACTGAGCAGTGTCATGGCCAGAAGTAGGGCCAGCAGTACTGAGGCGCAGATGACCCAGGGTTTCAGATTCTGGCATGCCCTGGCAGGCTGCCTTGCTAGCTTAGAAGTAGTATACCTGCCTAGGACAGAGGATGAGGACAGCTAAGTAAGCATCCACATGAGCCCAACTTTCATAGGCAACTGAGATGGGTTAGGGCTAGGGTATCCTTATGACTGAGGGCTCTGGAACCAGATGTTCTCCTTGACAACCATCTGGGAGCGATGAACTGGAGAAAAGCAGAGATGTGCTCCCATTCTATAGTTATTCAAGGGACCATATAGTAAAGATTAGCAGCTGGGGTGGTGTTGGAGAGAAGATCATGCTTGAATACTATCACTTCCAAGCCACTTCCTTCCTTCCTTCTTCCCCTCTGCCCCAAAACTTTTGTAACATATTTTGAAGATGAGAAATTGGAGGCCATCAGAGGAAGTGGAGCTGTAGTTTCTGCTGTTTCTGGGGGGTTCTAAGGAAAGAACACAGGATCCCCTCACAGTCCACCAACTACCAAGAGCCAATGAAGGATTCAGAGAAAATGGAAGTGGCCTCTAACCCTGCAGACCCTTTGGTCTGTAGACTCCTAGAGTTAAGGGCAAAGGACTGGGGATGGGAGCATCCTTGACTCCTACTCTTTCAGCTGAAGAGAAAGGCAATAAAAATGATTGAGATAATCTCCTTGAAACCATGGCAACAGACATGTTTAAAAAAAAGGCTTCCTCATAAAAAAACCAAATAAATTCAATTTTTAAATACTGACCACTGTGAATATGGCCTTAGGTGTCATCACCCAAGGATGAGTACTCCCATTGTACAGATGGACAATGGGAGGCCCACTAGTGCCAAATATTCCATCAATCCCCAGGATCCCTCCCCTATATATTCTGTGCTCTATTGGGAGCCACCCCCCCCCAAGAGGGAGGCAAAAAAAGGTCCACCTGGAAGCCAAAGGAAGAAAGTTGAATGAATACATGAATCCCTCAACTGCTCTGGGAAGACCCTTTCTTCACTTCTCCTCTACTATCTCCAAGCCCCAACTTTCCCTGATTCCTCTCTCAGAAAAAAAAAAATCAGGAAATCCAGACCCTGGTCCAGCCAACTTCCAATCATCCAGGAGCTCCTGAGCCAGTTTGTGATCCATCCAAACACCACCAGCAGCATCCTGGAGTCCTTCCCACTACACAGCACAACACCTGAGTCACTTGGAAGACAGTGGGGTGAGGGGGAGAATCCAGCAAAGGGTCAAAGGTTAAGTTTGCAGAATCTAAAGATGAATCTGCTCTCCCTCCAACCCTACCCTTTAGAGCTACTCACCAGCCAGTTTGGTGAAGAACTCACTCTTCTCCTTGGGGATCTTTTGGGTCCAATTAAAAAAAAGATTGGGCCCAATGACATAAGGAAAAAGGTTCCTGTGAATGCCAAACTGATTTAGGCCAGGTTGGCATTAGCTAAAACTGTGATCATTCTCAGACTTGGTCACAGCACTGCTCAGTTTGCTTTATAGGGAAATAAAAGTACCTGTTCATCCCACATTCAAACTCCAAGATGCTTAGGGGGTCTGACCACCTTCAACAAACTGGTTTTGAGATGAGGAAGTGGGCTACCAAGCATAATAATCCCACACACCCATTGTCAGAGAACTGGGGTGATTTTGACCATAGCCATGAGAGGGGCCAGGCTTCCCCCTTTGTTTACAGCTATATACAGGACTCCATCATCTTTGTTCATATATGTGGGGGCACCCCAAGGAAACTCCCAGACGAAAACTTGGCAGCCAATTTGCTGTTTCAATCATTTCTACTCCTCCCGGAAGCGAAGACTGAAACAGGGAGGAGGGGAGCCCCAGGCAGTCCTGCCCAGCCCTGGCTGTGTGTGGGAAGAACCTTGGTACCCGGACTAAATAAGATTTTCGAGGGTCTGGGGAGGTGGGAGGTGGGGAGGAACCGCCACAATCCTCACGAAAAGCCCTTCAATATGGAACAGACTTGCATCTTGGGCCAGGACTCTTAAGAGATCCCAGCGCCGTTTCCGACCTGGTGGGCTTGTGGGGGACCCCATTCCTCCGCTCTGCCCCTGCTGCGCAAAATTCCGCTCCAGTGGTTGTCTCATCGTCCAGAACCCTGAAAGAACGCGGACCGCTCCTCCCCAGAGGCAGCTGCAGGACGGCGGCCCCAGAAGGCTAGAGGCCAGGACCGGGGACAGGTACCTTGTAGGCGGGAGGCTCCCGGACGTCCCTGGTGGGGATGCAGAGAAGCAGGAGGCCCGCGAGGCCAGACAAACAGAGCAGCAGAGGCAGCAGGACCGCTAGGACCTTACCGGCCATGATCCCGCCAGCCTGCCTTCCCGCGGTTCGCGAGTAAGGGTTTGGCTAGGGGTGTTAGCTGCGCCTGGGTTGGGGAGCACAGTTTCAAGGCAGCTGTCTAGGCACGGGAGGGGGCGGAGCCCTGGTTTAGGAGGTGGGGCTAACTCAATCCATTGGAGTAGATCCTTGCCTACTGGCCCCGCCCTCTCCCTGCCCCTCAACTCGTCCCTCCCCCCCCCCAACCTCTAGGGCTCGCAGGTGAAAAAGAACCTGCGTAGCTGAGTCATCCCGGAGCGTCCGGGCGGAGCCTGAACTCCTCATCCGCCTTCCAGACCCCTCATCGCCTTTTCCACTCTGCCTCCTTTCCACCTCATTCCACTAGTTCCCATACTTAGCTTCTGCTACTTGTTCCTAACGTCCTCCCTAACCTTCCTCTTTTCTGTTATCCTTCCTCTTCTTTCTTCCCTTCCATTACACTCTTTATCCTTATCTGCTTCCTATCCCAGGTCTGTTCATCTATTTTTAACCTTGTAACCTTCTACTCATCCTACTCTCTTTGGGGGGTGGGGTGGAGGGGGAGAGAAAGTTGTTTCAGATCTGTGATTTCACTCATGTAGGGAATTTCGTTTTTAGGAGCACTGGCTGAATGGGAACTGTGAAGCAATTTATAGTTTTAAACACTTGCCTTGGAGGTACTGTGGAGACAAGTAACTTTCAAAGGGGATAAAAGCCAATGTCAATCAGAGGTAGGATTTAAATCTAGATCTTCCTAACTTTGAGTCCAGCCCCCTGTATCTCATTTTACCCCTTTCCTATTAACCCCTGGGGCAGCTAGATGGTACTGGGCCTGGAGTCAGTAAGACCTGAGTTCAAAGGTGGCTTTAGATACTTAGTAGTTATGTGACCCTGGGCAAGTCACTTAACCTCTTTGTGCCTCAGTCCTCTGGAGAAGTAAATGGCAAACCACTTCAATATCTTCACCAAGAAAACTCCATGGACAGTATGGTCCACAGTGTCACAAAGAGTTAGACACAATTGAACAACAATTCATTAATCTCCAATTTCCTGTCCCATCTCTTAGTTCTCTTATCTTTAATCTCATCTCCAACGCCATTTCATAAATCATCCCTCTTCCTTGAAACCCCCCACCCCAGGTTACTGCCCTACTCACAGGTCTCTCAAGTCCTCTGAACTTCTTTAGTTTGAGCCATAAATTCTAGCACAGAATTGTTCTGTTCCACCAACCTGCCAGTGAATTGCTAGGCTCCTCTAAGGCAGGGGACCTGTCTTCTCTTATTCCTGTTTGTCTCATAACATACCTAGCCCACTATGCTTCTGGATACACATTCATGTTATTGAGTGATTGATCTTTGAAAGAACCCAAGGGAATAGTTAAATATGAAAAAGCAGCAGAGGAGTCAGCATCAAGGGTGGAAAATTGACAGGTTGTTGTCTTTTTTTTTGGGGGGGGGGAGGCTAGAAAGGGGAAGGATGTTTCTCAGTCTTCCTACAAAGCTGGTTGTCTGGAGTGTTCAGGGTATAAGTTCTCAATGGAGATGAGGGCTGGTCTACTTGACTACAATTCAGTAACATTTTTTAATGTTTTGTGGATAGCTTTTGTTTTTATATCATAATCATTTAAAATTATTAATGCAGCCTATATCAATTTACATGCCATTTTGGGGTGGGGAAGGGGAGACATGGGGAGAAAATTTGGAACTCAAAATCTTGTGAAGGTGAATGTTGAAAACTAAAAATAAATAAATAAATTTATTTAAAAATTTGTTAGTACATTTCAATTTAAAATCATTTATTTTTCCCTGATATATTCTTCCCTTATACTTCTCAAGGCACCATCCCTCATAACAAAAAGTAACAAAAACAAGCAGGAAAAAGTTAAAAACTAACCAACACACTAACTAAATCTAACATTAAATGTAGTGTTCCATTCCCATAGACCCTCATCTTGGCAAAGAAGGGAGGGAGTTGCATTGTCACATATCTTTTTGGGACTTAATTTGACTATCACAATTTCACAACAATCAGTTTTGGTATTCTATTGCTATTATTTCCATTTCTATTGTTGTCTTGTATATTGTTTTCCTGGTTCAGCTTAATATCAGTTCATATAGGTCTTCCCATACTTCTCTGGTTGCATCATCTTCAAAATTTCTTACAGGCCAGTAGTATTCCATTACAGTTATGTATTACAATTTGTTGAATCATTTTTCAATTGGTGGGCATCTACTTTGGAGGCAATGGAGCTATGTGACTTGCCCAGGATCACACAGCTAGTGTGTGAGGCCAGACTTGAACTCAGGTCCTCCTGACCCCAACTCCTGTCCTCTATTCGTTTTGCCACTTAGCTGCCCCAGGCACCTACTTTTTAACCAATGTCTTAAGCACCTACTATGTTCTAGGCACTATGCTCAGTGCTGGGACAATGGGGGGGGAGAAGTAAAAAGATAATGAGATTGCCTTTTGTCCTTTTGTTTATCATTTTTCTGTGCTATATTCATGACTCACGTATTTCCAACTAGACTACTTCAGGATAATAATTATATCTCTTTTTACTCTCATCTCCTGGCCTATAAGGAGATAACAATTTAATGGATACAGGCATGCACACACACAGCCATGATATAAGGGACTGGAAGGAATTGGGATGGAATGGGGACTAGATTTGTAGTTCCATTAGTAAAGGGAAATCCTGGGGCTTGGAAACTCCCTCTACCAATGCAGGTCAACACCTTCTCTGCAGCTTATAGAGAACTGTCTAAAGCACTGAGAGATTAATTGATTTGCCCAAGGTCACATAAGTAGTGTGTGTCTGAGGCCATATTTGAATTCAGGTCTTCCTAACTCCAAGCCCAAAGCTCTGTCTACTGCACCACTTAGCTTAGCTGCTTTCATGATGTAAGGGAGTGGGTGATAAATACAAAAGATAGGTCCAGACAAAGTACTATAAGAAATTCTTGAGGAGTCTTTTGAGCCAAGATTCCCCCACAATCTCTCCTATTTTCTTCAATTACATCTATCCTACCTTAGCACCCCATCCAGTGGGATACTAGACTGTGTGCAGAGACAGGCTCAACTTTCCTAGGGTCTGCCCATAGATATGGGCTCTCTCGGCAAAGAGCCTGAGGTGCTTGGGATAAAAGACTTGACTTGTCCTTTTCAGGGCTTTTGAGTCTGATCAGATGCCCCATCACTAACCCCCAGAGGGGATCCCAAAGCAGAGCCAATCAAGCAATTACTGAACATTGAGACACAGTTCTTGGCACTCAGAGAGCTTACCTTCTACTGGGGACATACAGTAATACACATAAAAACAAAAATGTATACAAAATAATTTCAAGAGTGGGGCCATTAATACCTGGGAAGGGATTACCAAAGGTTTCCTGTAGGAGGTAGTACCCTGAAATGTGCTTTGATGCATTCTAAAAGGCAGAGGCAAGGAAGGAATATATTCTTGGCATGGAGAACTCCCAGTGCAAAGCAATGGAGGGAAGACATAGTAGTTTTATGTGTGAGGATCAATCAGGCCAGTTTGACAGGAAGGGGAAATGTGTGAAGGGGAGACATTGCTTACAAGTCTGGGAAGATATGTGAGAGTCAGACTGTTGAGGGCTTTGAATACCAAGGTGAGGATTTTCTATTTTATCCTATAGGCAACTGAATGATGAGCATGATGATGATGTGTGTGTGAGAAGTGGATCATCCTAGGCAGAGGTAAAAGGGTCAAAGTGTTAAAGGAATGACAGGCACGGAGGTTGTGATGGATATAACTTGTCCATTGCACAAAGGAAACCTATTTGATTAGATGGATGGATGATTGACAGGCTTGGAAATAAGACTGAATCAGTAAGGTGGAGCCAAATCTTTAAGGTCCTTAAATGCCTAGCTGAAGAATGGGGAATTGGTATATTAGCATTCTAGAGTCCTTCCCCAGTGGTCTCAAATAAACTGAAGCTCTGAGAAGGCAGAGACAAGTGTGTTTCACCACATATAGAGTCCAGTCCAGCATAGCTCGGGGGTCCACCTTCACTGAATCTGGGAAAAACTTATCTATATCCTGTAGTCCCTCCAGAACCATCCTGGCTCTGTCCCTAACAGGTAGTTCTCCCACTTTCCCACCACTTCTTCTCATCCCCTTTTATATTTAACAGTGTCCAAAGAGACAAGTGAGTAATCTATTCTGATCAAGAAGTCCTTTCTGAGGAGGTTACCTTTCCTCTTTCCAGGTTACACCTGCATTTTGAATGGGTCCTCAGAAAACAATGTATACATCTATTGTTTCACCTATCAATTAGTCTTGGGATGAGACTTTTAAGCCAATAAGCAGGTAGATAAGTGTGGCTTTGTGAGGGCAAACCTATGAGAAAGCATTTGGGAGGTAAATGGGACCTTGTAGTCTTTCTGCTCCATCTACCTGCCAGGGTCTTTGGGGCCGGAAAGAGAGCAGGCAGGGAATTCAGAGACCAACCTACTGTCTCTCAATATTCAAGGCATATTTTCGATTTGTGCAAAGTTTCCCCCCCACCCCCACCCCATCCAACAGGGCTTCAGTGGAGCAGTTTCAAGGCTAGTCTGTACAATAGGGTTAAAAAACAAAAACAAAACCAACAGCAATCTGCAAGGATGTCTTTCACTCCTTAGTCCTCTCCAAGGAAATGCGTGTGTATCACTGGAATAGCCCATCTTCAGGGGCCCATTCCTTAACCCATTTCATGATTTCCTTCCGAGAAGCTTCTTTCCCTCCACTGCCCTTTGTTCCCAGGGTCAGAGGTGAAAATCCTTAGAATGAGGAGTAGAGAACTTGGGATCCAAATATCTTGAAATGGGAGAACCCTGCAGAACCCTCAAGGAGAGAACATCCTGAGGGGTGTCCACCAAGAACTCCAACTATGTTCCAGCAGTGGAAACATCCAGGGATTCTGAAAGGGAGACTTGAGGTGGGGCATGGAGAGCGGGGGGGAAAAGTTGAGAGAAGGGCTGTCTTTGATAAAGGAGAGAAAGCAACCCAGATCTTGGCTCTGGTCCCAGGACCCAGACAAGAAACAAGCTTGCATTGCCAAATCGGCTAATTCAGAGATAATAAAGGTTGGGATGGGGTGCCATGCCTCTGAGGGTCTGGAAGAATTAGCAAAGGCAGCTTTATTCTCTTCAATGTCTGCTGCCCCCCCCTTCTCCTCCCCGCCCCAGAGCAGAAACTTTTCGGGAAGCCCTCTGTCCAAAAGCTCCCGCCCTGAACTCAGTGGGGGAGGTGGAGGACACAAGGTACCAGACCACTGGACATTACTGAACAGCCCAGAGCTGTGCCAGATTCAATTTGTCTCTTGAGTTCTCCCCCAGGCTGTCTCTTACAATTCTGTCCCCCTTCCCTAACCCCACCCATGGCTACAAACCCTTTCTTCTTCTGGAGTTGAAAGGGTCTATGGCCACAAGAAGGCAAAGGATTTCACCACATCAGATGGGCAGCCTACAGTGCCCAAGGCTGAGGTCCCAGAGCATGGCACCATGAGCCTGGGACATAAAAGTGCAGAAGGATCCCATATGATTCCTGCCTGGGACAAAGGCAGGCACTATGTTCTCTTGAAAGTTTAAAGCATGTTTTCATCGTAATTCATTGCTCTGATGGCTTGTCAGAGGCCAGAGTAAAACCATGGGTGGCCTGGTCCCAGAGGACTGTACCCCGCCCCAGGAACCAATGCTGTCATCCCAAGAGTTTTCCCACCTGCCCATTTCTGTGCTCCTCTCTCACATCCCAAGGTTGCCAGGGTTTAAATTCACAACTCTGGGAGGAACCAGTCAATCAACAGGTACTCATTAAGTACCTGTTGTATTCCAGGCGCTAGGCTGACGCTGGGGACAGAAAGACAGAAATGAAATAATTCCTGCCCTAAATGAGCTTATATTATACAGAGGAGGTATACAAAAGAAATACATAGTAATTGTTTTGGAGGGAAAAGCAATAGCAGAGGAAGGGATCAGAAACCATTTCATATCAAAGGTAGTACTGGATCTGATTTTTAAAGTAAATGAGGGAATCTAAGGAATGGAAGTGAGAAGGAAGTATCTCCTAGGCATCAGAGAACAGCGATGCAGAGACTCAGAGATAAGAGATGGAGTGTCACTGGGGAGCAAACAGAAAGAAAGCAAGTTTGGTTGGATTGTAGAGTAACGGGGAATAATTTATATGAAAGTCAAAAAATTGTTTTTTTCTATTCAGCTCTGGTCTTATCGTCAAGAATGGTTGAAAGTCTTCTATCTCATGAATGAAGAGGAGTAATTTATAATAAAACTGAAAAGAAGGTTGGAGCTCAAGTCATGGTGAGTTTTAAATGCTAATCCTGAATTACAGTTGATCTTGGAGGTGATAGCGCGTCCCTGGAGTTTTTATCAAGCATCATCAATATCAACTTTGCAGCGCTATACACAGAGCTGAAAAAAATACATCTACACACATAAATGGGTATACAAACGGGATAATTAGTAATAAAATATAATCAAGCATTCTTTTTTTGGTGGGGGGAGGGGAATGGTATGGACTATAACTGCCATGAACTCTCAGAGAAGAAAGAAATGGATCCTTAGAGCCTGAGGTAGTCAGGGAAGGCTTCAAAGGGGAGGTGGGCCTTGGTTTGGGCCTTGAAGGACTGGAGAGGTAGGACTTAAAAGGCGATGGGGAGAGGGGAGGGCACTGCAGAGTATACAGCAGAAATGAGGTTTATTTTGGGAGGTCTTGTTTTCCCAAAACCTTGGGGAGAAGGGTCATGCTGGGAAGGATATGTTTGTGTACTCTTGGCCTCGGATAGTAAGTACTTCAGGAGTTGGTGGGGAGCCCTGGGGGGGGGGAGTTGGGAGAGGGCAAGCCAGGCCCCTCCTTTCACTCTGCCACTAACACTTTGCCCTACAGACCCTCTATGGGATAAAGAGGGGCCCCTTGGATTCCTGTATCCTACAGGTTGAAACCAGATGGCCTAGATGTACAACACATGCTTCCAGAGCCTCGTTTGTTCTCTTTTTTCAGGGAAGGAAGAATTCTGGAAATGAGAAACAGTGTAAAGAGGCTCTTATCCTGTTGGCAGAGTAGGAAAGAAAAGCCTGGGGGAGAAGGAGGAGGAGGAGGAGGAGAAAGAAGGAGTTTCCTGGGGCCCCGTAATGAAAACAGCGTGGGTTAGACTTTTTCTTGCCAAGAAAATGCTTTTCCCATCCAGGGTTACTAGACCCACAGCTCAGCACTGCCTCCCCTTACCCTTCCCTTTGCTGCAGCTAGGAAAACTCAAGGCACTGAGCACTGGATGAGGGGCAGCCTTGACTGTAGGAACAAACCACTGGCCCTTGTGCCAACTACACCCCTGGACTAACTGAGCCAGAGAATCTAAGACCCCTGGGTTAGTGCAATAACTCATCTCTTTAGGACTTGTCTTCACAATTTATAAAACACCATGATCAGGTTGACATATCCCGTTGGTAGATGTTATAATACAAATGAGGATGTGAAAGCTCAGAAATCCAGAATGATTTGCCCATGACCTCTGCAATTAGCAAGATATCATAACTTCAGAAAACAGGAAGGCAACACTCCTCCTCATGCAAGGACAAGTATCCTGGAAAGAATATTTCATGGCCTGTGAATCACCAACTGCTTGGGGTCCCAAGAGTCCTTCCCAGAACATTTTTCTTCACATCAGACCTCAGTCTCTGACTACAGTTTCTCTTGCCTGGTCCTTCCCAGAAGTTGAGAACCAACTGACCTGACCTGGTCTATGCCCTACCTGGGTGAACCCAGAGGCCTCCTGGGATTCTTCTGTTCTTTCTTCCCTGAAATGACCAATCCTCTTCCACACTCTGGGTTTTCAGGGCCTGTGTCCAGTGCAGCTGGAATTATTCTCAAACTTCTTAGCTGCTTGTTGTTCAGTCCTTTCAGTTGTATTAGACTCTTCGTGACCCCATTTGCAGTTTTCTTGGCAGAGATACTGAAGTGGTTTGCCATTTCCTTCTCCAGCTCATTTTACAGATGAGGAACTGAGGCAAACAGGTTTAAATGATTTGCCCAGGATCACACAGCCAGTAAATATCTGAAGCCAGATTTGAACTCAGGAAATAATTTCCTGACTTCAGGCCCAGCACTCTATCCATTGTGCCACCTAACTGTCCTTCCTAGCTGATACTAGATATGAAAAAGAAGTTGGTCCTTGATTCAAATTATCTCCACTTCCTTAGAAACCCATCCTTTCAGCACCCAAGAATCTCCACATTACTCACATTTGATCCCATTAGAAAAAATATCCTGTTTGGGCCCTTTCTAGTGTCTGTCTTAACAGCTCCATTTAGCCATCCAATTCACTTCCCCTTAATTCAATTAATATTTATTAAGACTATCTCTCCCTTCTGTGTGTCCTTTCAATGAATTTGGCAAACTACACACTGTGGAGGTCAGATAATTCTCAAGGCCTGAGGAAAGCTTGTGGGGAACCTGTAGCCTAGAGGCCACACTCCTGGCTTAGGACCTGGGGACAGTTATATGGAGGAACCCCTTTTCTGAATCATAGCCTCTTTCTGCCAGCCCACAAAGCTTTATCAGATTGTAGCTTTCCCTTTTTGTTATGTTTCTTCTTTCACAACATAATTAATGTGGAAATATGTCTGCACATATATAACCTATATCAGATTGCTTGCCATCTTGGGGAGGATGCAAGGGATGGTGGAAGGGAGAAAAAATTTGAAACTCAAAATCTTATAAAAAAAATATTGAAGGGGGTGGGGTGGAGCCATAATGGTGGAGAAAAGACAGGGAGTCACCTGAGCTCTTCCCCAAACCTGTCCAAACACTTCTAAATAATGCCATAAAACAATTCCTATAGTGGCAGAACCCACAAAAGGACACGGTGAAATAATTTCCCAGCCAAAGACAACTTAGAAAGTCAGCAGGAAAAGTCTGTCTATTGGGGCCAGAGTGAAGCACAGTCCAGTGCAGGCTATACCAGCATAGACCAGGTCCCAGCAAACCAGTAGCAGGCCTTGGGAGACACTGAATTAGCAGTAATGGCAGCTGCTTCTGGAACTCTAACCTCACAGACAATAAGGGGGTCGAACAACTGGTCAGAAGGAGATTACGGGAGTCTCTTTGCTAGCACTAGGGGAAAGACTCTGTTGCTTTTCCCATACTCGGATCTGTGTCACAGTCTTGGGTGGGTAGTCCCAGGGTGAGGAGGAGCACTAACACACCAGAGCTTGTGGTCACAATGGAGCAGAGGCCTTCATCACAGTTCCAGGGCAGAAGAGAGTATTTGTGGTCACTCACAGACCAGAGCACAGGCCAGGAGAGTAGTAAACACCTATCCTTAGATCATACCACCTTGGAAGAACGCAAAACTTACAGGTCCTAATACAGCTGCACAAACCCTTGAAGCCTGGGACAGTGCTCCCTCCATCCTGGAAGCAGAACCCCACTTTGACAAAGAGTTAAAAGTCAAGAAATGGATTGGAAAAATTAGCAAATAACAGAAAAACATTCTGACCGTAGAAAGTTACTGTGGTGACAAGGAAGATCAAAACACACACTTAGAAAACAATAAAATCAAAGCTTCAACATCTAAAGCCTCTAAGAAAAATATGAATTGATCTTATGCCATGGAAGAGTTCAAAAAGGATTTTGAAAATCAAGTAAGAGGGGTAGAAGAAAAACTGGGAAGAGAAATGAGAACGATGCAAGAAAATAATGAAGAAAGAGTCAGCAGCTTGGTAAAGGACACACACACATGCCCACAAATACTGAAGAAAATAACACCTTAAAAAACAGAATAGATCAAATGGTAAAAGAGGTACAAAAAGCCAATGAGGAGAATGCCTTGAAAAGCAGAATTGGCCAAATGGAAGAAGAGGCACAAAAACTCACTGAAGAAGATAATCCCTTAAAAATTAGGATTGAGTAAATGGAAACTAATGAATTTATAAGAAATCAAGAAACAATAAAACAAAACCAAAAGAATGAAAAAAATAGAAGACAATGTGAAATATCTCATTGGAAAAACAACTGACCTGGAAAATAGATCCAGGAGAATTAGTTTGAAAATTACTGGACTACCTGAAAGCCATGATCAAAAAAAGAGCCTCGACCTCATCTTTAAAGAAATTATCAAGGAAAACTGCCCTGATATTCCAAAACCAGAGGGTAAAATAGAAACAGAAAGAATCCACTGATCACCACCTGAAAGAGATCCCCAAATGAAAACTCCCAGGAATATTATAGCCAAATTTGAGAGCTCCCAGGTCAAGGAGAGAATATTGCAAGCAACCAGAAAGAAACATTCAAAAAAAAATTCAAAGATCATGGAGCCACAGTCAAGATTACACAAGATTTAGCAGCTTCTATATTAGAGAACTGAAGGGCTCAGAATACAATATTCCAGAAGGCAAAGGAGCTAGGATTACAACTAAAAATCATCTACCCAGCAAAACTGAGTATAAACCTTCAGGGGGAAAAATGTATATTCAATGAAATAGAAGACTTTCAAGTATTCTTGATGAAAAGACCAGAGCTGAATAGAAAATTTGACTTGTAAATACAAGACTCAAGAGAAGCATAAAAAAGGTAAATAGGAAAGAGAAATCATAAGGGACTTAATAAGGTTAAACTGTTTACATGCCTACATGGGAAGATGATACTGTAAATCATAAGAACTTTCTCATTGGCAGTTAAGAAGGAGTATATATAGTCAGAGGCTAAGGGGTGGGAAAGAGGAATGCACTGGGAAAAGGGAAAGAAAGGGCTAGAATGGGGTAAATTATCTCACAGAAAAGAGTTAAGAAAAGGCTTTTACAGTGGAGGGAAAGATGGGGGTGTGGGCGTGTGTGAGTGAACCTTACTGTCATCAGAATTGACTCAAAGAGGAAATAACATACATATTCAATTGAATATAGAAATCTGCTTACCCTATAGGAAAGTAGGAGGGGAAGGGGATAAGAGAAGGACAGTGTGATAGAAGGGAGGGCAGATTGGGGGAGGTGGTAGTCAGAAGCAAAACATTTTTGAGGAAGGACAGGGTGAAAGGAGAGAGCAGAATAAACAGATGTGGGGGAGGGGAAATAGGATGGCGAGAAATACATTAAGCAATTGTAACTGTGAAAAAAAAAACTTTGAAGCGTTTCTCTGATAAATGCCTCATTGCTCAAATACACAGAGAACTGAGTCACATTTATAAAAATAAGAGCCATACCCCAATTGTTAAATGATCAGAAGATATTCATTTTCAGATGAAGTAATCAAAGCTATCTATAGCCATATTAAAAATGTTCTAACTCACTGTTGATTGGAGAAATACAAA